TTGTGGGAATGCCCTCTTAGTAAACAATGTCCACCATGCCTCGCGGTAAGAAGGTCCTCACTCCTCGGCGAATTGGGACACTTTTGTTCCCCAGTGACAGTTCTAATAGTGATGGAGAAGTGCCAAGTGAAGATGAGTTTCGTGGTTTTAGTGAGGTTTTGACCGAAACTAATGACCATAATATCGGTAATTAGTGAAGAAAACCCAGACGACCCTCAGCCTTCCACCTCTGGTGCTGGGCCTCGTGTTCACGTTCAGTTGTTCCAGAACCCAAGAGGAAACTTCTATTTTCCCAAATCCCAGACTCAGATGAGAGCATGGTGATGATAGTGATATGAATATGAACTACAAGCTCTTCAAACTAGTTCCGTAGTGATAGTGAAGTGCAATATTCCCAGTGAAGCGTCAGTATATACGACGATATATGCGCTCTGGAAGTGTGCCATATGTTATACCAAGGGGAAGGAGTGTATCTCGGAGTACATCCGTGGCTGTACAAACAGGAAACAGACAGTGAAAAAAATGACGAAGATACTGTTGCAAATTGGGATGGAAAATGTGCGTGGTGGTAGTGGTGCCGGCGGTGAGGCACCAGCAGTGGGCCATGCTGCCACCCACGCTGCCACCCACGCCGCTGCCTCAGCTGATCTAGAACAAAGGCCACCATCCCCCACTCCCCCACCACACCAGCCTCCACAACCACAACCTCCACAACCACAACCTCCACAACCACAACCACCTGTCATTGTCCAGTACCACAGCAGACCGCGCACCTGGGATTGGCAGGAAGCTGTCAATTTTGTTCCAAATCCCCACAGTTTGATGGCAGCCAAAGTGGAATAACGGCCATCTTGTGCACTTGGGAACAATGCCACTGAACTGGAATGTTTCGAGTTATTCTTTGACGAACCACTGATGAAAAGTATTGTCATGGAAAGCAACACATACTACGAGTACACCATGGCAAACTACAATACTTTCACCAAAATCACGTTCTACACCAATGGAAGGAGGCAACTGTGGCTGAGATGTATCTTTTCTTTGCCACAATAATGCTTATGCCAATGTGTATAAGCACAAAGTGAAATCTACTGGTCAACAGACCCCCCTGATTGCAACACCAGGTTTCAGTGATATAATGCCAGTGAATCGATTTGTGCTAATGTTACTATGCTTCACTTCTCAGATAAAACCAGGCCTGACAGAACTGACAGGTTATATTAAGATTAGGAATGTGTTTGTGATCTGAAACAGAAATTCAGTACTCATTTTTATCCCTTCAGGAAGCTTGTAATTGACGAGTCTTTGATTCTGTTCAAAGGAAGACTTCCTTTCAAGCAGTACATACCAAGCAAGAGGAAACGCTTTGGTATAAAGTTGTTTGTGCTTTGTGATTGTTACAGTGGTCTGGTATTGGATATTATTGTGTACACTGGAAGTTATACATTGCAAAATACCAGGAAGTTATTGGGCATCTCAGGTGATGTGGTTCGAACAATGATAGAACCATTACCTTGGTAAGGGCATATATTATATACAGATAACTGGTACACAAGCCCCTCACTCAGTGATTTTTTGCGAGTGAACATGACAGATGTGTGTGGCACAGTGCGTGCAAATCGAAAAACATATGCCCAGGTTTGACGCTGGCACTCGCAGAGGTGAGGTGCAGGCGTTTGCTGCCAATGACATGGCATTTCGGTGACATGACAAACGAGATGTCACACTGTTGTCATCAATTCACCCTAATGAAATGGCAGACAGTGGCAGGCAGCATAGAGAGAGAAATGAACCCATTCTAAAACCTGCAGCTGTGATTGTATTACACCTTCAACATGCGTTCAGTGGACAAATGTGACATGCAGATTGGGTTTGCTGATTGTGTTCACAAGAGTTATAAGTGGTACATCAACTGTTTTTCCATCTTCTGGACATTTCCATGCTCAATGCTTATAATATGTATAAGATGAGCACCAGAAACAAACCACAGTACGGCGAATTCTGTTTGTCTGTCATCAGACAAATAGTATTCAAGTACCAGGAAATGCACCTGCAATTGACCGCCCACCAATTATCAACAACTACTGCTCGTCTGAAGCATGGTGATCACTTCCTGGTAAAACTGCTGCTACTGCTTTGAAGAAAAAGGCTCAGAAGAGGTGTTACGTCTGTTCACATACAAAAAAAACGCCACAACAACGCAGAGACACTCGTTTTATGTGTGAGGAGTGCAAAACTCCACTGTGCATGACACCATGTTTCAAAGACTTCCACAGGCTGCAGAACTTCTAGAAACATGTCCTGTGACTGTATATGTGTATATAAAATATAGAAAATAGTAATAAACAACATTTCATATTGTTTGTTTGTGTGTAAATATTTTCTGTAAACAAAATAATGACAACAGTGTTTACGCCCTTATTGTGTAGTATTGAAAAAGAAATAGCTTACAAAATACTGATCATGTTGGCCTCAGAGGCCATAAAAGTTACTCAGAAAAAGAAAAATTGAAAAATAATTGAAAATAGTACATAAAAAAGTAAATAGAAAAATACTGGGTGACGGCAGTCGGCGATGTTACCATATGTTGTTCAATTTTGGCAAATTTCACACCTCCATATCTCGGTAAGTATTGACGTTAAAATTTTTTTGTTTAGCCTATAATGTTTAGAAAAAAATACTCTATTTTTTCATAAGAAAAAATAATTTTTTTTTTTTTTGAAATTTGGCCGACCCTGAGAACGAGTTTCGGAGAGGGCCTGTCGACCCTCAAAGGGTTAAATGTTCGTACAGAAGTGAATGACATTTAGGTGTGCCTGCAGAAAGCCCTTTAATATACAGAGCATTTCAGGCAAACTTAGGATTAAGAAAGCAATAACAATTTGAGTATAGTGGACCCCCGCCTTACGAACGCATTACATTACGTTAAATCTGCCATACGAAGCATTTGAATGCAAAAATTTTGCCTCGCCCCACGATAAAAAACTCGCCTTATGTGATTCGTCCGGGACGCGTCCCACGTGTGGCCTCAGCTGCCCCGCGGGCGCCAGTGTTTACAAGCCAGCCAGTGAGGTCGCATCCACACATACATTCGGTACATTTCACCTTATCCCAGTGTTTTTTGTGCTTGTAACTGCAAAATAAGTCACCATGGGCCCCAAGAAAGCTTCTAGTGCCATCCCTGTGGTAAAAAGGGTGAGAATTAGTATGGAAATTAAGAAAGATTTTGAAGGTTTGGGGTTAACCCTGAGAAGCCTATGCCAGTTGTGGAATCCATTGTGTCTACTTCAAAGATTAAGGAAATGTGTGCAAAGTGGGTTGAAGTGCAAACCTTTATGGATGAAAATCACCCAAACACAGCTATTGCAAGCCATGCTGGTGACTATTACAATGACAATGTTGTGGCCCATTTTAGGCAAATCTTAACGGAACGGGAGGTACAGACCTCCATGGACAGATCTGTTGTGCAACAGAGGTCCTAGTGACATTAAAAGAAGAAGGGAAGTAACCCCGGAAAAGGACTTGCTACCTCAAGTCCTAATGGAAGGGGATTCCCCTTCTAAACAGTAACAACCTTGACACTCTCCCCTCCTCCCATCCCATCAATCATCACCAGATCTTCAATAAAGGTAAGTGTCATGTATTCTATTCTTATTAGAGTAGTAATTGTGCATGTCTTCTTCAGTTTGTGTGTATTAAAATTAATATTTCATGAGGTAAATTTTTTTTTTTTTTCATACTTTGGGGTGTCTTGCACGGATTAATTTGATTTCCATTATTTCTTATGGGGAAAATTAATTCGCCTTACGATAATTTCGGCTTACGATGAGCTCTCAGGAACGGATTAATATCGTAAGGCGGGGGTCCACTGTAATTTTATACATACAGTCACTTAGACGAGTGTAAGTATAAATTTAAGAGTTATTATTTTTATTTACTACATGTACAGGGTATGTAAGTCCCTTGTTACGCAGAGCATTTCTGGCAAATTAAGTCAATTTTGTCCCAGGATGCGACCCACACCAATCGACTAACACCTAGGTAGCCATTTTACCGATGGGTGAACATAGACAACCGGTGTAAGGAAACACGTCCGATGTTTCAACCCTTCCTCTGCGAATCGAACCTGGACCCTCACCGTGTGAAGCGAGAGCTTTTGCCACCAGGCCACGGGGCACCATAAATGAATACAAGAGAACTGAATATCCTATTAGTTCATGCTATATGGCTTTTATCAAATTTAATTGTTTAACCCTTAAACTGTCCAAACATAGATCTACTTTTTTTAAACATTTTAAAGTATGTAAAAAACGTAGATCTTTTCTTTTTTTTTACATTTGAAAATGTGTAAAAAAAACTTTGATCTACTTTTTTTTTGTTATATTTGAAAATATGTAAAAAAAAATTTGATCTACTTTTGGAGTACTACACATGTGAACATAAATTTGTTTGGACAGTTTAAGAGTTAAGGAATTACAGATTTTATTATGATTATAGGTGATGAGGATTCTAGCATATTAACATAATCAACGTTTTAATGTTTGAGAGGATTACAGATGTTGAGAATAACTGACTCAAGAAATCGTAATGACACGATTGCAAATAAACCATACCCCCGGCCGGGATTGAACCCGCGGTCATAGAGTCTCAAAACTCCAGCCCGTCGCGTTAGCCACTAGACCAGCTAGCCACAATAAGATTCATCCAACTAGGTATATTTCTACACCATAGGAAGGTTAGCACAGGCACCTCTGTGACCACAAATGCAAGTTTTTACAGACGAATCTCCAGCTACCGCGGGTTCAATCCCGGCCGGGGGTATGGTTGAGAATAAGATTATACAAACCATGATCAAGTGGACTCAAGATGGTAATATCCCTAGAATCATTAACAGATGTTGAATACATGTACAGACTCTTCTTATTACCATAGACTTTACTCATAATTAGTTAAACTCCACTATCACATTATATTTCCATCAATTTTTAATCAGTTTTTACCTTGAGCGGAGTGTTCAACATGTTGATGTACCTCATCATCATCATCATCATCATCGTCCAGATCACCCATAACAGGGTCATCATGGTAAAAGTTCATGTCGGTCTTGGTGGTGGTCATGTGCTGTGACTGCATGCCACCGGCGGATCTCGAGTCATCCATCCATGAGTCTGCCAGCCCCATCTGACTCAACCCTGTTTGGTAACAAAATACAAAGTTATTAGTTAAATAATACATTACGCATTCTCTTCTACAAAGAGGTGTATCTAATGGTTAGAAATACAGTAAATGTTTTCAAGTTTTGTAGAATAAAATACAGTGGACCCCCGCATAACGATTACCTCCGAATGCAACCAACTATGTAAGTGTATTTATGTAAGTGCGTTTGTACGTGTATGTTTGGGGGTCTGAAATGGACTAATCTACTTCACAATATTCCTTATGGGAATAAATTCGGTCAGTACTGGCACCTGAACATACTTATGGAGTGAAAAAATATCGTTAACCGGGAGTCCACTGTATATACAGCCGGTCCTCACTTAACGACGGAGTTCCGTTCTTAATACCACGTCGGTAAACAAATTCATCGCTAAGTGAGGAGTATACTATAATGGTAGTGGGTTTGTGTCAACCATTTTTGATAATGTTTCAGTGTCACCTCTGCACCATTTATAACATTTCTGGTATATTTTTAATTGTTTATACAGGTCTCCCTCAACATTCGCGAGGCTCTTGATCCCCTAACCCTCGTGAATGTTGAAAAATCGCAAATGTTTGGTGCCACAATATATTGTAGGAAAATGTAATACAATACTGCTTCTTTAACTTGTTGAACCATGAACAATCATAAAATACATGAAAATGTTGTAAAATATTGTACTAAATACATGCATGTTATTGTTTAATAACATGTATGTTATTAAATACCACTGCCTCAACCACTGCTTCCAGCAGTGCCTCAACCACTGCCTCAACCACTGCCTCAACCACTGCTTCCAGCAGTGCCTCAACCACTGCCTCAACCACTGCTTCCAGCAGTGCCTCAACCACTGCTTCCAGCAGTGCCTCAACCACTGCCTCAACCACTGCTTCCAGCAGTGCCTCAACCACTGCTTCCAGCAGTGCCTCAACCACTGCCTCAACCACTGCTTCCAGCAGTGCCTCAACCACTGCCTCAACCACTGCTTCCAGCAGTGCCTCAACCACTGCCTCAACCACTGCTTCCAGCAGTGCCTCAACCACTGCCTCAACCACTGCTTCCAGCAGTGCCTCAACCATGCCTCAACCTGTTCAGCTGCCTCAACCATCTCAACCACTGCGGCGCACTGCTCGTATTTTGGTACAATTTCTTTCTTCAATTCTATCGTGTTTCTCAATTCCTTTAGCAAAGGGCTGGCACTAGCAAGTTTTTTTGGGCCCATGGTTAATTGTGTGGCAATCCACTCAATCTACAAGCACCGAACACAATGAATTATTGTAAAATGTTTGGAAGAACATGGAGACTAATGCTCACTCCAGCATAAACAAAGCCACACTGACTGACGATGCCTCAACCACTTCCTCCACCACTGCTTCATCCCTCATATTTTTGTACAATTTCCTTCAATTCTATCGTATTATTATTATTATTATTATTTTTATTATTATTATTAGCAGTAGCAGAAATGTCTGATTATTTGCTGTGTTCAAGAGTAAACATATGATGTCACCGTCCAATACCTGTCCGAATAGCCATTCCAATACTATTCAGTTATGAATGGGTTGATATTATTTATACTGTAGTTTAATAGCAAATAATGAACAAACAAAACACTCACCACACTGAGTGGTGGGAGGGCTGGCTGCCAGTTGTGGGGGTCGGAGGGAGGGTAGTAGGGACTCGCGGGTGGCGGGAAACTTAAATATGATTTGGCGGCTGGGAATTTGGCAGTTGGGAATTTGGTAGTTAGGAGTTTGGCGGTTGGGAATTCGCAAATGTGTGAAGCCCGCGAATGTTGAGGGAAACCTGTACAGTAGTGTAATGTATACAGTGGACCCCCGGTTAACGAACTTTTTTCATTCCAGTAGTATGTTCAGGTGCCAGTACTGACCGAATTTTTTCCCATAAGGAATATTGTGAAGTAGATTAGTCCATTTCAGACCCCCAAACATACACGTACAAACGCACTTACATAAATACACTTACATAATTGGTCGCATTTGGAGGTGATCGTTAAGCGGGGGTCCACTGTATTGTAATGAACAGTATAGAAGAGATCAGCTCTAATATACATTATTTTTGTATGCATTCTGGTCAGAGAGCCCATCGTAAGTCCAAGTCGTCAGTAAACAAGTACGTCACTAAGTGAGGAGAGGCTGTATAGTGAACTCTCTTATTCATTCAATGGTTATCTGGAAGTGACAGTCAAGAAGCAATTGAAAAATGAGATAAGAGAACAGGTAACTTTTATTTGACCTACTAAGAGAAAAGTACAGTGGACCCCCGGTTAACGATATTTTTTCATTCCAGAAGTATGTTCAGGTGCCAGTACTGACCGAATTTGCTCCCATAAGGAATATTGTGAAGTAGATTAGTCCATTTCAGACCCCCAAACATGCACGTACAAACGCACTTACATAAATACACTTACATAATTGGTCGCATTGGCAGGTGATCGTTAAGCGGGGGTCCACTGTATTGAAAAACAAAAAATAACAATTAACTGGAATTTTTTTGGTTGTAAAAGTTCAGTTATTAAAGCAACTTGTGTAGGTCTTGGATTACAGTGGACCCCCGCTTAACGATCACCTCCAAATGCGACCAATTATGTAAGTGTATTTATGTAAGTGCGTTTGTATGTGTATGTTTGGGGGTCTGAAATGGACTAATCTACTTCACAATATTCCTTATGGGAACAAATTCGGTCAGTACTGGCACCTGAACATACTTCTGGAGTGAAAAAAGTTCGTTAACCGGGGGTCCACTGTATTTCTAGATTTAAACTGTACAGAATATGTTTCCACGATGAAATGTACAAAATATAAATATAGTTGAACCCCCAAATCCACTGATTCAGTATCCGTGGTTTCAATTATCCAAGGTTTACTGTGACCCAAAAATACCTCTTAATTTTGCATAATAACAACAGCCCCAAAGTGCAACAGCAGAAAAGCTGACAGTTCTTCAAAGCCCAAGAAAAGCCAAGAAGCGCTTCCACTTTTCGCAGATGGAACATACAGTCTTCCAATTACTTTTCTTCTTGAGGTTTCTTGAGAAGAATTACTTTTTCCGGTACAAAAATTTCATTTTCTTGCTACAAATCGCCTTCTTTTTCTCTCTCATTTTGGTAAGTTTTTGGAAAACATGATCATATTTCTTTAGCAATATTAAACATTAAATAGCTAGAACGAAGTACAGTGGACCCCCGGTTAACGATATTTTTTCACTCCAGAAGTATGTTCAGGTGCCAGTACTGACCGAATTTGTTCCCATAAGGAATATTGTGAAGTAGATTAGTCCATTTCAGACCCCCAAACATACACATACAAATGCACTTACATAAATACACTTACATAATTGGTCACATTCGGAGGTAATCGTTATGCAGGGGTCCACTGTATACAACAAATTCTAATCACACAATAGAGCAAAAGAATAATTTGAAGGACTTAGGAATGTGAATGTCAAGAAGATCTCACCATCAAGGATCACAACAGTGTAACTATCACATTGTGAAGAATATGGTAGGATGGATAATGAGAACCTTCAAAACAAGGGATGCCATGATCCTCTTTAAGTTACTTGTTCTCTTTAGGCTGGAATATTGCTGTACACTTACTGCTCCATTCAAGGCAGGTGAAACTGCACATCTAGAGAATGTACAGAGAACCTTCAATGCACATGTTAGTTCAGTCAAACACATAAGTTATTGGGAAAGTTTAAGGTCCCTCGACCTGTACTCCCTGGAATGCAAGCAAGAAAGATACATCATAATCCACACGTAAAAAACCCTACAAGGACTGGTTCCAAATCTGCACACAGAAATCACTCCCTAGGAAAGCAAGACTTGGTAGATGGTGCTACATCCCCCAATGAAAAGTAGGGGAGGTGTGAGTACTCCTAAGAGAAAACACAATAAATGACAGGGACCCAAGACTGTTCAACAGCCTCATGTCAACCATAAGGGGAATTACCAATAGACTCCTGGGTGTCTTGAAGGAGGAGCCATTCTGACACCTAGTCAGTGCCTGATCAGCCAGGCTGTGCTTCGTACACTGGATTACGTGCAGCCAGCAGTAACAACCTAGTTTATCAGGCCCTGATCCATCAGGAGGTCTGGTTGAGAATCGGGCCATGAGGGCATCAACCCCAGAAACAACCTCCAGGTAGGTAGTCTTAGCACTCTGCCAATTGATGCTGCTACTACAGATTGACGTAATATTCATAGCATCACTTAAATTTGCTCATCAACTTCTATCATATTAATTTTTTTATTAATACATGGGGAGCGCTAAACCCGTAAGATTATACATCACATGGGGGGGGATGGAAGGTATTTAGGCTCAATTCAAGGAAACGGAGCACAGATCCAATTCCCCAGATGAAGAGCCCCTCACCAGCATCAAGGGACCTCCCTTGAGGGGTGTACTTCTTTCATAGTAAAGACTGACCCATTATCTTGCTGCCTCAGATCTTTCTTGATGTTCTTTATTTATTTTATTTGGACATGATACATAGTTGTACAAAGAAATACAGTAGTTGGGTGTATATGCCAAAAGTCCCTTGTACACAGAGCATTATGGGCAGCTTAAAATTAACTTAAGATTAACTAAACAATGATATATTCAGTAGTAAAAATTACCGTAAACAAATTACAACATGAAATACAAATGAGTATTTTAAACAATGAACATTTCAATTAAGAAGCATTACATTTGTACAAATTTGTAGCATAATAATGTACAGTGGACCCCCGGTTAATGATATTTTTTCACTCCAGAAGTATGTTCAGGTGCCAGTACTGACCGAATTTGTTCCCATAAGGAATACAGTGGACCCCCGCATAACGATTACCTCCGAATGCGACCAATTATGTAAGTGTATTTATGTAAGTGCGTTTGTACGTGTATGTTTGGGGGTCTGAAATGGACTAATCTACTTCACAATATTCCTTATGGGAACAAATTCGGTCAGTACTGGCACCTGAACATACTT